GACTGGATGTAGATAGTTACTTAGACGCTTATCATTAATTAATTCAAATAATTTTGAATTGTGTATTCCAGAGAGCCAAGCCATTCAAATAATAGGGTCGGTCGGAAAATAATATCTAGAAATACAGAATGAAAGTAATTATGCTCTATTAATTAATAATTTTTATAATTTACCTTTTAATGTCTATCATCGCAAGATGGTACACAGCAAGGAATAATAACCGACATTTTTATCATTTAAAAAATTTTAAATGTTTTTTACACTTTTTTACACTTAATTACAAAATTACACTCATAAATTACACTTATTAAAAAAATTAACTGATTTATCAATATCATTTATATTTGACATTACTTAATTTGACTTAATTAATCAAAGATGAATACAAACAAAGAAATGAAATATAAGCCACCTTAAAGGTTGTTTAAATTTGAATTTGTGTAGAATTAGTTATCGACGGTGACATCGGATGGCGTTGACGACGGTTACAATTTTCATTCATTTGAGATCCCCCCCCATGTGATAGACATTAATACGTCTAAAAACATAAAACTTCAAAAATAATATGAATACGTCTAGGATATAACCTCTAAAAATACACAGCAAATACATAGACCATAACAACAGCAGGGCGTGGAAAATGGTGTGACGTAGTTTGCGGGCAGGTTGTCACAACAATGGATGTAGCGGTCCTGTTAGATTCTACTGTCCTTGACCTACGCCACTGAATTCTTCGTAAAAAGTTGCCCATATAATGTTTTATTTATCTTTGATAATAAGTGAGATATTCGCGATTGTCGTTTTTGATAAATTTTCAGTTTTTGCCGATAGGGCGAAAACAAAAGACGATAGCTGTTCGCAGTTTTCGGCATTAGCATTTTCTCGAAAAACGAGATCATGACATGTAAGCTACTTTTTTTCTATCTCTTTTAGTTTCGGAGATAGTCTATGCGGACATCGAAATTGGGACACCCTGTACACAAAGTTGCTGGCACTCTCAAAAATCGGGTACTTTTTTCATTTAACTCGCATAAAAAGAAAACCGTGAATCCGAAAATTTTCAAATTAACATATGTTACGTAGAAATGTTCACTGATTTCAATAAACTTTACCGCAATTTTTTCCATCGAGCGGTTACGAAGATATCGATCTCTAAAGTGAGGGGCCTTGACTTTTTGCACGGATAGTAGGTGTTAGTGATGTAAAGTTTAGTTACTTTTTAGTATTTGTAACTATCCGTTACTTTCAGAAAAAGTATTCGTTACTTTGTACTCGATACTCGTTACAAGTAATCGTTTGCATTTGCATTCGAGTACTCGTTTGCGCTCGAGGTTCGAGTACTAGTTTGCAATAGAGTACCTAGTCGTTTTAGTTGGACTACATACTTACATAAATTTATTTTATATTACACTTATTTTTGAAAATAAATACTGTACGTATATTATATCGTGTTTGTTACGCTACTATGCACTGTGCACTAATATCAAAAAATAGAGTGTAGGTTATGAGATTTACTTTTTCACTGCATATTATAACGAAGAATTGTTCTTAATTATTAATAACTTACGTTTCTCTTATTATATAACAAAAATATTTGAAAGTAGTAACACATTAACAATGGAAAACAAAACTTCTTCTATAAAACAAGCAATAATAAAATAAAATAAAAATATTAAAATAACAATAAAAGATATTACAGCTTATTATTGCAATGTAAGTCGATTTCGCCTATCCGACAATACTTAGCCAGCTTTGAAAAAAGTAACTGTTAGATTCAAAGTAACTGGTACCGATATGATACAGTAACAGTTACTTGTAATCGCGCGGAATAACGAGTACTCGTGTAACGAATAGTTACTTTTTTTACATCACTAGTAGGTGTTACGAACTTTATAACATGAAAATAAAAATAAATTTTGTCATGATGACTCCCCTGTTTATTCTTATTACTGTTATTTTTATAGCCTCTAATGCTAACTCCCGGTATAAATATAATAAGACTGAAGAAAAAAGCGACAATAGTGGGAAAACGCTCCATAGGTCACATAGCTATTTACATCGGCAAATTAGAACTAGTATCCACTCCCGTTTCACCAAAAATCACAATAGAAGTAAAACGGGAAGAACCGTCGATAAGATTAGACGAAGGACAATGGCCGTTACTTTTTGGCCTAGAACAAAGACTCGAACTAACCATCACCATAGGAAGTTATAAAATTGATCCTGTAAGATTTTTAAAATGATTTTTATTTACTATTTATTTTTCTTTTTTTTTTAGAATTGTATAGTTAAATTAATAGGTTCGAGAGGCGTTTCGATTCAACACAATTTAGATGCCCCTTTACAATCAACTATAGAAATACCAATCGAACAAACCGAGCCAGAGCAGAAAACGGTTACTACTCTACGAGTTTTGGCGGATCAATTCTCAAAAGACCAACAGATTACAATTCGATGGCCGTTTTCGCAGAAACCCATCCCCGTAGCTTTAAGTTTTACAACGCCCATGAGTTGTACAATGAGGCTACATACAGCTCGTCATAGGAAATTTGTTCAAATATCCGTTACCGGTCAATGCGATTTACATTTGACGGTTACAACTCCTAAACTATTACTTGGGGATGGTATTAATGTTATTACTCATAATATCCCTTCTAGTCAAGTAAGAAATAAATGGTTTTAAAATGTTTTTTTTTTCTTATAAATGATTAAAAGGTTTATTAACTGATTTTTTTTAGATTATTACTAATGGTATTTCAATTTCTTTTATGTGGGAAGTAGAAATACCATCAACGAACGATGGTGGGCCTTTAAAAGGTGAATTTAGATTACATTATACAGTTCATTCTGATTGTAAAAGTAAAATGTACCAATATTACTTTGATATAACCGATTACCAGGTAAATATTAATAAATTAAACAAAATAAAATTTTTATTTTCTTTTTTTTTTTATTGTTTTTAGACTTTATATATTGTTGAAGCAAACGTGGAACCAACGAAAGGTAATGAATTCTGCAGAGTTGGTGCTGTTTGTAATTTACATTTGTCTATTAAACCGGCAAATCAATCGTTACAAATCGTCGGCACGAACTCGCTGATGTACGAAGTATTGGCGGAACAAAGTGTTTGGGCCGTTTGTGGAAGAACCGCGGGTGTGGTGTCTTTCATATCCGACCCTGAACCTCAAACAGTTACGTTGGAAGTTATGCCTTTAACCAGTGGTTATCTTCCTCTTCCATTAATTAGATTATCGAAGTACATTCCTGCCGAATTTACCGTTTCAGGTAAGAAACATTTCGTAATTATTTCTTAATATTTTTAAGGTTATTAAAAGTTGCATTAATATCTAATAAAATTTTAATTGTGCTGATCAACTTACAAATAGTCTTAGATTTTTATAACAAAATTAATGTATTTTAAGATTTGTGGTAATTTACGTTAAAGTTTGTTTTGAGTTATCCACATGTATTGCGTGTTGGGCAACATTTATTTTTAAAAGGAAGAATGGAACCATATACTGAGAGAGAATTAGATCATTTATTTGTCCTGTGACAAATTAACAGACAGAAAAGAGCTGGAAATTTGCTAGACATTTACATGTGGTTTATCGATTTTCGACAAGCCTATGATAGCATAAGAAGGGATAAAATAAGAATGATCTTGTAAAGTTCTGGAATACCAGCAAAACTAGCAAAATTAGTTATGCTAACTATTAATGATATTGCCAATCAAGTTAAAATCCAAAATAAGCTTACAGATAGTTTTATACGTAAGCAGGGATTGAAGCAGGGTAACAGTTGGGCACCATCCGTGTTAAAACTGGTCCTGGAACATATCCTGAGGTAATGTGAAATAGATGCTAAAGCATATAAAATAACACAAATGATGGGATACGCCAATGACATGGTAATTACATCTTGATCCTTAATAGGATTGAAGTAAGCCTGTAAGGAGATTAAATTGGTGGCTTGGGCAGTAGGTTTAGAGGTCAATGTAAACAAAACTAAGATAATGGTCCAATCACATAGACACCAAATACAACCGACGCACAAAGATATACAGGGTGATTCTCAACTTATAGGCATAAACTTGGGGATTTATTTCTCATGACAAATAATGAGTAATAGGTGAAAAAAATTGTACTCAAAGTTTTTTAGTTTCCTAGATATCCATGACATTTACTTTCAAAACAAGAATACATACAGGGTGTCCCGTTAAGCGTACGGAGCGGCTGTATCTCAACAACGGTGAGGCCTAGAGGTTTGGGAAAAAAATCCTTATAAGCAAAGTGGGCAAGAGAAATAGCTGGAAATTATTTTGAAGTTCGTAATTCGACCGCTAGGGGGCGTAACTGCCATTGAGAAACAAAATTCCCGCTATCTCAGAAAATTAGACGATGAGCTATAACGTTGACAACATCATTTAGTAGCTTGGATAATACCGCATCGCTTTTGTTTTGCGATATTTCTCATATCTGTCATAATAACGGAGGGGTAGGTCAATGCGTTTTCAAATGTTTACATTTTAATATTTCATTTGCACTTCATGCTCTTTTAAAAAATATTTTCAGTAAGACCGCTTGGTTTAAAACAAATAAGCTAGAGGGCGTTATCTGCAGCGGTTACATATTTTTGTGATTTTTGAAAAAAAGTTAAATGGAACGGTACTATTTACTTCACAGACCGTTAATCACCATAAAATTTGCTAAATGTTAGTGAAAACCGCATCCCGATGCCTCCATCCATTCTCGAATTATAAAAGAAAATGTTAAAAATTCATATATCTTAATTGGATCAAGTTACCTTAGGAAACAAATAAGAGAGAACAAAAATTTTATTATCTAGAACCTTCCTTCACACTTTATCCAAGCTTAGAACTGCCTCAAAACTACTTTTGAGGCGTGTTGAAAAGCCAACGGATCAATGAAACATCAACAATGATAATAAACCAAATAAACCAAAACACTTAGAATAACTTAAATTTTTGGCAAAAATAACTCACTAATGTGCGAAATGCCTTCCATAAACCTCGATGCATTTATTTAATCTAGTTTCGACGAAAAAAAAGCGCTGCTTAAGTCTCGGCCCTGGACACGTTTCTACTGGTATTTAGTGTTTTGTCATATTTTCCCTGGTTATTGGTTTTTCTTGAAAAGTCAGGTCGTTTAGTCTACCCAATAGATAAAGGGGTGAAAGCAATGTGGGTTTTGCTCGAACCAAGAATGCATATTATGCAAGTTTACATCAGCTTGTGGACAGATGCTTCATGCATCCATAGCATTTGTGATAAAAGGTTTGGATTTGCCCAAATCATATTTAAAAGTCAATGGTAATAGTTCAGTCTGTTATCATAATCGGTATCTGTTAAGGCCTGATGTAAAACAACGTGGTGGAGATATTATTCTCTTGAGAACTCTTGTGGACAATTGTTTTCGGAGTTCCCAGATTATGTGGGATCACATTGCGCACCAATATGATTTACGAATTCATAGAGATGTCTGAATGGGCTACACGTTGCCAGTTTTCCGTAATCGCTAAGTCAATCTTAAAAACACTTCTAGAGAAAAATGTCTTTCTTTGTCGTAATTGCATTGCACATTTTTGCCATGCAGTTGCATCGTATTCGAAACATTGAAAATAAATCATCATACGCTCTATCATACGCTTCTGCGTTAGTAAATGACATGTTTACAGTTACCATGGTTATGTGATTTGTTTTTCTCGATGAGGTAACTGGATCCGATTGATGGCACTCGAGTTTTTAACATTTTCTTCTATAACTCGAGAACGGGTGGCGATATCGAGATGCGGTTTTCACTAAAATTTAGCAAATTTTAAGGTGACTAAGGGTCTGTGAAGTAAATAGTATCGTTCCATTTAACTTTTCTTCAAAAATCACAAAAATATGTAATCGCTGCAGATAACGTCCTCTAGCTCATTTGTTTTAAAGCAGACGGTCTTACTGAAAATATCTTTAAAAAGAGCATAAAATGCTCTTTCAAACAACACCGAAAATATTCAAATCGGTTGAATGGTCTAAGAGATATTAAAATGTAAACATATGAAAACGCATTGGCCTCCCCTTCCCTTATTATGACAGATATGAGAAATATCGCAAAACAAAAGCGATGCGGTATTATCCAAGCTACTACATGATGTCGTCAAAGTTATAGTTCATCGTCTAACTTTCTGAGATGGCGGGAATTTTGTGTTTCTCAATGGCAGTTACGCCCCCTAGCGGTCGAATTACGAACTTTAAAATAATTTCCAGCTATTTCTATTGGTCACTTTGCTTATAAGGATTTTTTTCCCAAACCTCTAGGCCTTACCGTTGTAGAGATACAGCCGCTCCGTACGCTTAACGGGACAACCTGTATAAGATTTTAGAATGACATCAAAGCAAGTGTTCGAAGTTGTTTCCAATATTTTATATACACAATTGGGTTCGCTGAATCCACGATGTCCCACTAGCGCGGCCTATACCAGTATCTGATTTTATAATCCTTGTTCATTATTAACTTCCTCAATATTTACTTCCTCAGCTGCAATGTTAAATGCCTGTATAACCACTAACCACTGTATGCCATCCTCAGTATCGGCCAAGAGGACGGCATCATCTGCATAGCACTCAATCTTGATTTTGTACTTTGTAATGTTTGCTCTGTTCTAATTCTTTTATTCTTAGTTCGAACGTTTTGGTTAGATCAACGAAACAGAGGATGACTGCCTGACATTTTTTCGCCGCAGTTCTATCTGATTCTTTTCGATGCTCTCAACGTTTTCCACAACATTGTGTGATCTGTACATATCATTCTTCATCTCGTTACTAAATTTCGCCATGCGTCATTTGTGTAGGCAACTCTTGCAATCAGGAGGACATGAGAAAACGACCCACTCATATGTACGTCAACACTTTTTTGCAGAAGATGAAATAAGTATGGTGGTATCAGTTCTAAACAGATGAGATAGTTTGGTGTTGCTGTGTAAGATGAATTCTAAAAGAATACGCTTTGGAGATGATATGATAGCGCGGCCTAAACCACGGTGTTAGCGGATTGTCTTGGCAGCAGTTTGTATCTGATTTCGCAATCTTTGCTCAGTGTTAACTTCGGTGACGTACACTATGCTTTTTAAGTGATCCCAAAACAAAGAAAAACAAGAGGATTGAGGTCGGGCGATCGAAATGGCCAGGCCAATAGACTACCTCGACCTGTCCATCTTCCGGGAAGCACTTTATCTAGATGTCGCCGCATATATCGGATATCTAGGAAATGAAAAATGTTTTGCTACAATTTTTTTCACCTATTAGCCATTATTTATCGTGAGGAATAAATCCCCAAGTTTATGCGTATAGGTTGAGAATCACCCTGTAGAAGAGGACTCCATACAATTGGTTGACGAGTTCATATATTTGTGGTCCTTGGAAGTTTTTGAGAAAACATCGAAATTTTTGGTTTACGTTAATCTTATGCGATTATTATGTTTACCCTTTTAGGTTCAAAACTGGTAAAGTTACCAGATTTCAATTTTACTGTTATGGCAGTAGGAATTAAAAAATATGGTATTGCAAGTGAAAATGTGGTGTATTTATGAAAAGTTCCGTCGTTAATAAAAGTGGGCTAAAGATTTTTCTGCGTGCAGCTTAAAATGTCCCCACTAATCGTTCATAGCATCAGCCATACTCTTTTTATCTCTGCTAATATTGCATGGTACTAGGTTAATAATATGTTATTATACTTATTTATACAACGACGAGCGAATACATGTATTTTACTCAATAATGGGTGATCAAAATCGTATCGTTTTTGTAGTTCCTTGCCAGTAACAATAAGAAAGTTTCGCTCATACATCAAAAATTCATCAAAGGCTATTTTATTTAATTTAATTTTTTGGCCCACCACTTTGGTACTTAAGTGCATTTTAACAGGATTGATAAAGTACGCAGTATTTACTAAGTAGTGATGAATCGTCATTTAAAGAAAATAATAAATTTCGAGTATCTCATTGTTCGTTGGCCCTTTACACAACGTTCAAAAGTAATTTTCAGATTTTATAAAGGAATATTTTGGTTTTTAAATATTGTACAATCTTAAAGCTAAAGAAGAAATTTATTATATTATAACAGCAATTTTTCCTAGAAACATACTAGTGGCACCCTCATGCAACTTTAGGATTTTTATCAGAAAAAACCTCTATAAACTTAAATGTACGAGTACCTATTTTTCTAGGCATCATTAACTATGATTTTATTTATAAATTTGTAACGTAATGTCTCGGCCGCAAGC